GGAGAGGAAGCTCAGCCTGTTTGGACATATCTGCAGGATGAAGGACAAGCAACTGGTGAAGTGTGTGGCGTTTGGGATCATGGATGGACAGACACGGAGAGGAAGACAGTGGTTGAATGACATCAAAGAATGGTGTCAGAGGGACATCCACTCTCTTAGCAGGATGGCACAGGACCTTGCACAGTGGAAATGGAGCGTCAGACGGGCATTGGACACCAACGGGCGTGAGCCCATGGAATGATGGATGGGATGGATGGATGGACAACATGGCATTAATCAATGCATGCTGATGAACTTTTATCATAGTTTATTGTTATATGGTAACGAGTGTTCAACATTCAACCCATTCTTTTTCATCAGTATTATTTGTGATTTGAATTTTGTGAATGGGAATTCCTCTTTTGCTGTGTTATAATTCGAATTCGCAATCTTGGTGTCACATTTTACAAGAAAAGATAATGTCTGTTTTGCTTATATCTATACACCTTTCACTTTATAAGACTAAAACAAAAGATTGATTCATTGTTATTTTTAATTAAAAAGCACAACAACAATAAAACAGTAGGCTATAATGACAAACTAGCTTACATAACATTTATTAACAAAAACGAATAAGATGGGGCATGGCTCCACATGCTATATTATATACTGACTAATAAATTACAGAATGTTTAAATGGTGAGGAATCAAATAAATAAAAAACAAAAAAAATAAAGAACGCCTCCATAGGGTAACGTGAGGTAAACAGCAAAGATAACAAGCTTTTAAAACGAAAACAAAAAGAAAAGTGAAACTAAACTGGCTGTCGGTGACAGGACTTGCATGTGTTTTTTTCCCCACAAGAATACCAACATGGTATTGTCTCCCAAAACAATATTAGGAACCTTAGAAATAATAGGGGGCATAATAGGGGCACTTTAAGATCATAAAAATATCAAAGCTAAAGGTTTTCATAAAGCAGTTATGGTAGCCACGTCAGTAGCGCGAGAGGGCACTAGCGTCTGTATAGAGACGCTAAAAAAGGTAGAAATTAAATTTAGTATTTATATTAGGGATGGGAAGATTCACCGATTCGCTCGGTGCATCGGCATAAAAAGTTAACGATGGGATGCATCGGTTTAAAAAGTGTGCGTCGGCTACAAGTTGGCATTTGTATCGCGATGCATCGTTTCTAACATATTTGCATCGGTAAAAACCGATTCATTTATATATAATTACTAGTGGATGCGCTATACTTTTATTATTTAGAAAGTGACCAATAATCTGTGACCAATATTTTATATGTAGATTGATTTCTCCTCTCTAAACTGTTTCTCAAGCGCGCTCTCTCATCACCACTGCTGCGTGAATATGACGGATCACAACAACACCACAGAGACCTGAGGAAAAGCGGGGATTAAAGTCCAAAATCTGATTTGAAATAATATAACAAATCTATTGGGGCTAAAGCGGTTCTATTAACGACAAATTAAATTCACACAATCTCACTAATTTGTGGACTTATTGTCTTATTCTTAAGCAGACCTTAATGTCGATCATGGATCAAATCGATCCACCATGACAAACAGCGAATATATCTGTGCTGTTTAATGCATTTGAGACGTTGTGTTTTCCTCAGTGCATAACTGACATGTCACAGGTATATTTTACCTATATTTAAACTGTAGTACCAGAGACACAGAGGCCATGAGGCCTAGCATCCTCTGAAACACCTCGAGAGGGCGAGAGGCTCCAACTCTGAATGAGGCCGCGAGCTGAATGAATGGCCAGCGCACGTTCTGGCACGGCTATCGCCCTCATTTGGGCAGAGTCTAAAACTGTTCCCAGGAACGATATCCGTTGGCTGGGGGACAGCTCGCTCTTGGCAAAATTGACCCTGAGTCCCAGGCATTCTAAGTGGCTGAGGAGGAGGGTACTGTGGGATAGTAGCTCGTCCTCCGTCTAGGCCAGAATGAGCCAGTCGTCGAGGTAATTCAGAATGCGTATTCCTGTCTGTCTCAGCGGGGAAAGAGCCACATCCATGCACTTCGTAAAAGTGCGAGGAGCTAGGGACAGTCCAAAGGGAAGGACCGTGTATTGATAAGCCACTCCCTCAAAGGCGAATCTCAAGAATCGTCTGTGGCGGGGGGCTATCTGGATGTGAAAGTAAGAGTCTTTCAGGTCCAGCGAAAAGAACCAGTCCCCTGGGCATACTTGTGAGAGGATCTGTTTCAATGTAATCATCCTGAACAACCGTCACATGAGGGCGCGATTCAGACACCTGAGATCGAGAATGGGCCTTAGGCTGCCATCCTTCTTGGAGACGAGGAAGTAACGGCTGTAGAAGCCTGACTCGCTCTCGGCTGGGGGAAACGTTTCTACAGCTCCTTTTGCCAGCAAATTCAACACCTCAGCACGTAGGACGTGTGCATCCTCGCTCTGAACCGAGGTGAAGACCACGCCGCTGAAACGAATTGGAGTTGCACAGTGAAGGCTTCGTAGTCTCGTAGAGCGAAGATCTAGTAGTCGTCGCTGAAGGAGAATAATCTGATGATCCTATGGCGATGTGCCACTTATATAGCCAGATGACCCCCGCCCATTCTGGCGGGCTTTGGCGGGCTTTACCGCCATAGGCTCGTGCAGCACCGCTGCCTAGCCATTGGTTCGTTTTTTATTCACTGCACGAACCAATGGCCGTGCAGTTACACTGCGTTATTGAAAGGCTTCAGTCATCGGAAAAAAAGGAGTTTTCCCCAAGCATCTTAAACAGACGCAGTACGAGTGAAGTATCGATAGGGAACCTACACCAGCACCACTGACATGAAGAGGAGATGGTCAAGTAGAAGAATTTAAAAATTCAAAAGGAAAAACAATAACTGTTGCTTTTGTATTTGTAGAAAATAAAGATGACCAAATAAATTGTAAATAATTTGTGTTTATTTAACAGCTGTGGTTGTGGTTATGGCATATATCTCGCCCCTCCATCTGGCATCCTTCCATACAGTAATCTGATTCATTTTCAGAAGGTGCGATGGTGGGAATTTGCGTGTCATCAATGCATCCAATCACACTGGAAATCCTAAAGGAAATTCTAATTATTGGGTTACTTCCAGAGGTCGCAGCAAGATGTTATCAAGTGAACATCATTTATCAGATTAGCCTCATTTAAACCGATTTCTACAACACTGACCTACAGTCCAGTCAAACTCCTCTTTGATAGATTTGTGACCAAGAAAAAATTCTCAGAAAGAGCGTAAGAGCGACGCACACTTTCTTTATCGGTCTGCATACAGCGGCCTTACTAATGTGCTCTGCATCTCTGATGTTTTAAAGAAAACTACCATTTAAATTGCTGCCGCTCAAATAAATATGCATGTGAATATGGCAAAAAAAAAAAAAAAACTCCCTACGAATTTATTCAGCCTCCTTGTCTACGGGATCCTGTATAAAAGGAGATGCCATTTTTGTCACTTTGACCATGTCTGCATGATGAAATTATGCGCAATTAATACCTGGACTGCAAAAAATGCTTTTCTTACTTAGAATTTTTGAATTTTTGTCTTATTGTTTCCAGTCAAAATATCTAAATATTCTTAAATCAAGATGCATTTTCTACATAAAAAAGATATAAGGTATTTAGTCTTGTTTCCATAGGGGGAATATTTCCATTAATAATTTAAGTGCATTTTTCTTATTTTGCTAATTATCTGCCAGTGGGTTAAGAAATAAAAAATATGCTTGTTTCCGTTTGCATTAAGATTATTTTTCTTACCCTATGGCGGACAATTTTACAAGTTTTACGTAAAATGCACTTAAAATGCACTCGTTTCCCCCAGGAAACATGACTAAATACCTTATATCATTTTTCATCTATAGAAATTGCATCTTAACGTAAGAATTTTTTGATATTTGTAATTGAAATAAGACAAAAATACTCAGTACGAAAAGCGTTTTTGCAGTGTGAATGAGTGAATGAGGTATTTATCGCTTACGCTTTAAAGGGGTCATATGATGCGATTTCAAGTTTTCTCTTCTCTTTGGAGTGTTACAAGCTGTTCGTGAATAGATAAGATCCCTAAAGTTGCAAAGACTAAGTATAAGTCATTATAATCCGTAATTATGTTCCCACTGGATGCTACAAATGCCTCGGTTATAATGTGGTTTTATTGGTTTTGTCTCGTCGTGCTGGTACACGGCATCACAGTATGGTAAGGGGCGTAACATTTCCGTCACAAGCTTGAGGAATTCGGCCAATCACAACGCACTGGATAGCTGGCCAATCAGAGCACACCTCGCTTTTCAGAACGATGAGCTTTGTAAAAATCGACGCGTTTCAGAAAGGCGGGGCATAGAGGAGAAACAATAATGTACAGTATGTGGAAAATAATGTGTTTTTTTAACCTTAAACCACATAAACACATTTCAGTACACCAAATACACAAAATAATGTTCTTTTTACCAACATCATATGACTCCTTTAAAAAGGGGGAGGAGACAGTAAGAAACTCTGGGTTTACCAAAGAAAACCTGCTCCCGACCAGGGGTGCGTTTCCCAAAAGCAACTATGGTCGCAAGTTCCGTCGTTACCAATAGAGTTCAATGGAACTAACAACCAAAGTTAGCTAATGATGCTTTTGGGAAAAGCACCCCTGGTTAGGTTCATAGAGTAATTTACCACGGAAACCGACTCTTGAGTATAAATTACCTCTCTTTCAGAAACGGGCTTGAATTACCCTGCTTTCTCGGGTTTGACAAACATCCCATTTTGAAACGGAAAACCCAGAGTTTCCCTCATTTCAGGGTTAACATACTCAGAGTTTTCACTTAACCTCCTTTCTGAAACGGGCCCCTGAATAAGCTATTTCACATAACAGATGTTTATATATACTCCACAAGTTCAACTGCCTGCTGTGCTTCAGAAAAATCCCCCAGCTCCTTCGCATTCTTTGGTTTTCCAGCATCTTCTGCATATTTGAAACTTTTCCAAAAGTTACTGTATGATTTTGAGATCCATCTTTTCACATTGAGGACAACTGAGGGACTCATATTAAACTATTACAGAAGGTTCAAACGCTCACTGATGCTCCAGAAGGAAAAACCATGCATTAAAGGGTTAGTTCATCGCAAAATGAAAATTATGCTGCGTTTCACTCACCCCCGAAGCATTTTAGGTGTATATGACTTTCTTCTTTCAGATGAATCCAGTCGGAGTTATATTAAAAATTGTCTTTGATCTTTCAAGCTCTATCGTTGTACTCAGCGGGTGTTGCATTCCTTCGGTTCAAAAGACGTGAAATAAAAAGCACCCTTCCACAAAAAAAAGTGTCTCACACGGCTGCTGGGGGTGAACAAAGGCCTCCTGTAGCGAATCAATGCGTTTTTGTAAGAAAAATATCCATATTCAAAACGTAATAATCACTTTAATGTAGCTTGCGCCAACAGTCCTACACGGAAGCAGTTCCGGGGGAATGACGTATGAGGTCAGCGACAGGAGGCCTTTGTTCACCCCCCGGAGCCGTGTGAGACACTTTTTTTTGTGGAAGGGTGCTTTTTATTTCACGTCTTTTGAACCGAAGGAATGCAACACCCGCTGAGTACAACGATAGAGCTTGAAAGATCAAAGACAATTTTTTATATAACTCCGACTGGATTCGTCTGAAAGAAGAAAGTCATATACACCTAGGATGCTTCGGGGGTGAGTAAAACACAGCATAATTTTCATTTTGCGGTGAACTAACCCTTTAAGAGCCTTACCTCTTAGAGAGAGATGTGTACATTTTTCTTATTTTGCCTAAATATCATATTTTTTTCATTTAGTACTGCCCTTCAGAAGCTACAGAAGATGTTTCTCAGAAGACAAAATAATTTACCCTGATCTTCAAATTCAAAAAGTTTTATATAAATGAAAATATGCTCCATTTAGGTTTGGAAACGTTATTTCTGAATTTTCTTGGGATGTTTAAAATGTCTAGTTTTTAAAATGTTTAAAAACATTTTTTTTTTGTTAGGGTTAGGTCAATTTGATCATTTTGCAAACATTATGGAACCAAATGCTACTTTTGAACGTTCTCTGAAGGTTTTGAATGTTTTGAAAAAAGTTACATGAACGATATATAAATAAACGTTGTGCTAACACTTTGAGTGTTATTAAAGACCTGAAACCTATGAACAACCATTCTATTAATGTTTGTTCATAACTTTGAGAGAACGTTAGCCAAAGTTCTGAGAACAATATCTGTTAGCTGGGATATTATAGGCTAATTTTTAAAGTTATTGTGGCATTACATGTAAAAGCTCATTTTTAATAGTTCAGTTTCAGCAATTTAGTTCAGTTAGTTTCAGCAATGTTTTTTTTTCTTCATTTTCTGAGAACAAAAAATCATTGTTAATTATGGTAGGTACATTATTATTATTATTATTATTATTATTATTATTATTATTATTATTATTATATTATGACTTATTTTCCTGGCAAATTTTTCAGAATGGATAAGAGGCAAACATTCACAAATAAAGCATCATTAAACAGCTTGCATGATATATAACACAAAACTAAAAGAGTGCAAGACAGCTCATTCTGATCAGAAATAGATCTCTGCACGTCACCTTATGATCTTAAATTTCATATAGTGCACATGTTGAATGTTTACTTTTGACAGGCTAGTGCTCTGACATAAACTATGTGCTATATTGATAAATAAATAGTGCTATGAAATTCTCCATGCAAATCTGTCTTTCACATTATTTTACTTGAACATTTGGCTTTTATAGAGACAAAACAATCCAGTAACACTATGCAATTTCCCAAAAAAGCACCTTACCTTATCCAAAAAAATTGGTGCTATCCGATATTAGTTTGCATATACATTATTCCAAACATACTGCAATGTTATTAGTGGTGTTGGGGAATCCATAATGTGGCCAGCAAGACTCTGTATTATTTCTCCCTGAGTGGCTTAAGTGCATGTGAAGACAGTTCTCACTTCCTCTCTACAAGCAGAGCACAGTAGTTGATGCAGTAAATTTGGCTTGTGTCAGGAAGGGCCAGTGGGTTAACACTATAGTCTTGACCACTATCTACAGCCGGAATGACAGTAATGCTGGGACTCTTCAACAGGAGCCTGATGCCAAGCAGCTGACTGTGGTGGAGGGGAGGGGAACTGGATACAAAGGGAGACTGAGGGGGTTGTCCTGTGCACCCTGGTAGGAGGGCAGCAAAAATAATTCTACTCTTTGTGCAATGGAATATCAATGGTCTCTTCAGTTATTGTTATTACTAAAGAGGTTCATATGTTAATATTTTCAAGAAGTTTCAGATTTTCTGTATAATTCGTGCAATGTCAAGTACCCATTTTTCTTCAGGCTCTTTCAGGTAAATTGGGACACTGCATCTGGTAATGCAGTTTCATGCAGACTTGTTAAAGCACTTGCGTATCATTGCTCCTTTGTTGATTTTGATTGCTTCTATTGTCCTCATTTGTAAGTCGCTTTGGATTAAAGCATCTGCTAAATGACAATGTAATGTGGGACACACATTATTAGTCTTGTACAAAATACAAATTCCTACAGCAGGACATTGTAATCTGTTGCAATAGAAAATCTTCAGAATTTAAAAGAATAACTTTATAAAAATAGACATACTTGTGGATTGTGTGTATATATATATATATATATATATATATATTAGAATAACTCATTCGCTCTCTCTTTAATATATTACAAATTAACAATGAACAAATGAACAAATTAAATTGTTTTTTTTTAATATATATTAGAATAACTCTAATTTGCTCTCTCTTTAATATTAGAAATATATGACAAATTACCCATTTGATAATTTGAGGGGTTTACAATATGACAATATCTAAATAATTAATCTCAATTACATGTAAAGAGCAATTTTGTATATATGTTTAATCTTGATTGGATCCATCTAATTTTTACTCAAAAAAAAAAAAAAATAATTTGGATAAAATATAATCAGGTACAATTATTGTCATGATCCAGTGATTGTACGAATCAATTTCCGCACAACGGATTCTATCGATTAGGTCTGGAATAGATTATAACAGGAAGCTTTCAATGCGCATGCGCTCCTTCTCCTCTCCCTTTCTGCCAAACTTTCGGCCATGGCCCCGATTGTGAGTACGAGCAAGTTTCTGAAAAACGATAAAATACAGTGCGTCACGTATCTTTAGGCCTGCAGAAACCAGTGGAGATTAAAGATGAACCATTGAGCCTTTGATTAATTTGGTTAACGAAAGCATATGTGCATCAGTGTTGTTTTTTAAAGCGTTTGTTTACTGGACGTTTGGAGCGAGGCCTGTTCGTGAACAACCACGTTGTAGCAACCAACCACCAGTTAGCTGATTAGCATTTCCTGTAGAACCGATGCGAATATACTTTGTGCGTTTGATAATAATTTATAGATTGAAAATTTAGAGAAACTGTGTTTTTGGTATTTTGTTTATAAATCAGTTTCTCCAGCAAAGACTCGAAACCACGAAGCTAGCGTAGCCCAAACATGATATGGCTGTGTTGAAGCTTTAATTTAATATTATTTTCCCCAACGTTTTCGAATATATTTCGTTATTGCCTTTAAATGTGTACGCATAGGTCGTTGTCACGTATACTGTCAGATTCCAGTTTTGCTAGAGCTCATTTTGATGAATGATAGTAGAAACCTTTAAAGCAAATCTTTAGTGTAGATGTATTTTTTTTTTATTTATTATGAATTCAGCACTTACAATTCTTTTACTGTCAACACTGATTGTCATTGATTTCATCCATATGTATCTTTTTGTATCTTACAGAAAAAGCCAGTGACCAAGGGTGGGAAAAAGAAAAAGCAGGTCCTAAAGTTCACCCTGGACTGCACCCACCCTGTGGAGGATGGCATCATGGATGCTGCTAACTTTGTAAGTTTAAACTGATCATCTGATGCCGAGTGCACACAGAACTGGAAATCTCCAATCAGATTACCTGACCAAAAAGCCATTTTGGGTGTTTTGCCAAACTGTACACATGCAAAGCTGTATTTTCTGCCTCCTTCAATATTTGAGCCTAATACTTTTCTGCAGACTTGTCGAAATTCTGATTATAAAGAATACAATGTGCACATCACTATTTTTTCCTGCGTTCTTTATGGGTGCCATATTTTACGTTTTTTGTGTTGATATATCATTGAGATCCATTTCAGTTTGAACTACCCCTAAACGACACGCCATAACAAAACGTAACTTTTAGTTTTGTCAGTTTCTTCCATTCTGTTATTGGCCAGAAAATGTTGCATAGTGGACTTCATGCTGATCGTCAAATGTGTCCATAATTGTCTAGTCTGATTTTTTTTTTACTTTTAGTTTTATTACTAAAAATAATAAAAACGTATTTTTTCCCATCAAAAAACTGCTAAAAGAACAATAACTGTTAAATGTATCACAGCTGCACAAGGATCAGAATGGGCTCATGTCTTTGTAGTTATATTTCTATATGATCCGATGGGCATGTGTTATTTGTCTCTCTGCAGGAACAGTTCCTTCAGGAGCGCATCAAAGTAAATGGTAAATCTGGTAACTTGGGTGGTGGCGTAGTCTCCATTGAAAGGAGCAAGAGCAAAATTACAGTAACATCCGAGGTTCCCTTCTCTAAGAGGTAAGTCTGGGATTAGAGATCCAAATGCATGTGAACGGCTGCTAACTATTAGTTTATTGCTGTTATTTCTCTGAGGCTATAATATTGAAGTTTTAGTTCAGTTAAAAGTTAAGATATCATTAAGATTATGGAACTGAGAAATTCAGCTTATGCATTACCAAACAGAAAAACTAAATTTAAACAGTTTATTGTAATTATCATCCATTTGTTGTTATTTCCAGTGCAGTTTTGTTTAAAGGGTTAGTTCACCCAAAAATGAAAATTCTGTCATTAATTACTCACCCTCATGTCGTTCCAAAACCGTAAGACCTCCGTTCATCTTCGGGACACAAATTAAGATATTTTTGATGAATTCTGAGAGATCTCTGACCCTCCCATAGACAGCAAGCATACTACCACGGTCAAGGCCCAGAAATGTAGCAAGGACATCGTTAAAATAATCCATGTGACATCAGTGGTTCAACCGTAATTTTTACGTAAACAACGTATGCTGTTCTGTGTCAGCTGCGCCACGGGGATACGTTGTTTATGCCTTGATCTGAACGAAAACAACGTAAATGGCTAAGATGTAAATCTCTAAAATGGCACCATGGTGACATGGAGGAGACGAATTGTTAAATAAAGTTATTTTTATTTTCTTTGCGCACAAAAAGTATTCTCGTAGCTTCGTAAAATTACGGTTGAACCACTGATGTCACATGGATTATTTTACCAATGTCCTTACTAGGGCTGCTAGATAATCGCTTTGGGATGATTGATCGGCGGTCTCTAAAAAGGCAGATCTCAAAAAACTGATCTCAAGCTGACGACACTGCCATGAGAGGTTTGGCACGACATGCAGCGGCACCATCTCAGTCTCTGTCCGGTGCGGGTGAAATAATTATAATGCTATATTTCTTCATTAAATAACTTATAAAGTAATTTGAAAACCTTGTGTGAGATGTAACTTCACAAATAGCGTGAGTGAATCACCGCGCGCGCTCTTTCTCTCTCAAAAATATGCAAATGGCTTCAAATCACCACACATCGCGTCTGTCTATAAGCGAGCTGCACAGTTGACACAGGAATTGTCACTTGCACAATCGAGGTAGTGTCACATCGTCACTAAAGTTTATAAATTGCATTACTTTTTAATTCTTGCCAGTGTTTAACCATTCAGCGCTCTCCTGAAGACCGTGCGCTCATGCAAACTCGCAGCGCACATACATAATGCCAGGTTCACAATACTCAGTTTGCAGTGCGTATGTGGTGTGTATTTTTTCCGCGCTCATGTTAACGGATTAAAGCGTTCACTGCACACTGTTGCGGTCCGGCAGTGCGTCTGCGGCAGAGCCGAGATCGCTTCCACACCTATTGCTAGACTCCACGAGTCTATTGCTGCGCTGCAAGCGCTGAATTAAAGTAACAGCGTATTGTTTTTAGTATGAACATGGATTGACACGAAAATGTAGTAATCTATGGGAGGGTCAGAGATCTCTCAGAATTCATCAAACATTTCTTAATTTGTTTTCCGAAGATGAATGAAGGTCTTATGGGTTTGGAACAACATAAGGGTGAGTAATTACAGGGATCAACGCTAATAATTTTTTTCTACTGGCCCGGTCGGACCAGTAGTTCAAATTTTTACTTGCCCTGCCAACATTTTCACTGGCCCTGCCACAAAAAACAAAATAGTTGCTGTTATCATTGTTTTTGATATGTTATCTTGTATTCTAATAAGCTTATATGACACCATTATTTTAGATACCAATTAAATGTTACAATTCTCTATTTCAATTTCGATACCACAGCAAAAATCACTAGCCAAAAATAAACATAAATATAGTTTAAACATTATTAAAGACAAGTGACAGCCAGTAACTAAGAACAAATGAACAAATTTGAAATTAGAGGCAACCACTGCATTTTAATCATGAATTGGAAAAAAATATTTGATTTATATTAGACTGTATAATTTCAAAATCTGAAGCAAAAACAGAATAGCCTGACTTTAGCATTGTGAAATTATGCTGCATAAAACATCTGTATGAAACCGAAAACGCAGACAGGCTGAATGAGACGCAGATTCACTCTCTGACAGCAGGTGGCGCTTATGGAACACGTCTGACATAACAGTTTAGCGGATATTCCGTATCATAGCAACCAAAGCGTCTCAACTGAAAAAACGCTGCGCCACAAAAAGCGCCTAGGGCCCTGTGTCCACCAAAGCGTTTTTCCCCGCGGCTAGCGTGTTTTTTCAGTTGTTCTCAATGGGAGCGCCGCGTTTTTTAAAACGCCAGGAGCGTGCCGAGCGCTGAGCGTCTTTTTCGTGCTGAGCGCTGAGCGTTCGGGCGTTTTTTTTCTTGCGCCGAGAGTTGAAGAATGTTCAACTTTGGATAAAACGCTGCACTCATCACTGTCACTTTCTAGTCAGCTAACCAATCAGAGTGCAGGAGGGGCGGGGCAAATTCCACACCGATCAACTGTCACAACAGTCATTTTGTTACAACGACGTGTCAACAAGCACAACAACTGGAAAAATGGAGGAGAAATTAATATTGCTGGTTTCTGAGCATCCATGTCTCTACCAGATGACTTCCCCGGACTACCACAATGTAAATTTGAAGAATAATGCCTGGAGGAACATTTCCTTTGCCGTGGGTCTACCAGGTAAGCAGCAGTTACCTAGACAACTAATTAGGAAATAAGGAAAAAGCTATGTAGCCTAGCTTGCAAACCGTTTTGTTTGTTAAAATGTAACGTTATACATGTAACGTTAATATCTGGCAGTCAGAATAATTTTCTTGCTTCAGTTGTTTTGTTTTTGTTTTTTTAAACGGACTAATCCTGTTGTCCATATAAATTTCCTTTCTTGATACTACTGGTGGTGGTCCTGATGTTGATGTTACTGATGGTAGTGGTCCTGATATTCATGCTAAAGGTTGTCTTGATGGTATTGGGAGTCATTACAAGGCATTAGAGGACAGAATGCTGCCATGCTAACTTCACCTGCAGGAGAAGAGAAGTAGGTGGTGTACATCTGTCTAATTTCTAGTGCTTCCCTAGAGGCGTTGTTGCTGCCTACTCGCTGGATGGGCTGCATAGCAAGCTGCTGCTCTAATGGCAGGGGGACACAACTTCCTTCCTCTTCACCAGCATCCTCAAAGCGAAGGAAATTGTGAAGGATGCAAGTGGCCTTCACCACTGCATCAGCAACTTTTGGTGAAACACCAAGCACTCTGTGGTAGAGTCTCCATTGAGCAGCAAGGATCCCAAATGTGCACTCTACCATCCTCCTTGCACGGGAAAGACGGTAATTGAACACACGCTTCTCCCTGTCAAGGTGTTTTCCTGGATAGGGTCGGAGAAGGTTCTTCTTCAGAGGAAAAGCCTCATCACCCACAAATACATGTGGCACAGGTTGGAGGTCTTCTGCTCTTGGTAAAGGTGCATCCTCTGGCAGGTCAAGGTGGAGGGCCTTACCAAAGTCAGAGGCACAGAGGGTCCCACCATCACTGCTTTTCCCATATGCCCCCACATCCACCATCCGGAAAAGGTACCTGGCATCAACTACTGCTAGGAGGACGATGGAGAAGCTCCCTTTGTAATTGTAATACATGGACCCTGTTGATGATGGGGCCTGTATTGCAACATGCTTCCCATCAATTGCTCCCAGGCAGTGGGGGAAGTTCCATAGCCTATGGAAGTCTTCAGCGATCTTCTTCCAGTGGTGTTGTTCAGGGAAAGGCATGTATTCCTGGACCATGCCAGACCATATTGCCTCACACACATCTTTTACAATTCTTGCCACTGTGCAGTAACCCACCCTGTAGCTGAAAGCTATTGATCGGAATGAGTCTCCTGTTGATAGATACCTGAAATAAAATAAAAAAGTTGCAATGTAAGCATAATAATTCTTTCACCTATGCGCATAGGTTACCTCTGACAAATGGAGAGACGTTCTTCCGAGCTGATGGCTTCCCAGTAATTTGTGTCTCGCCTTGTAATAGGAGGTCCGATTTTCTGAAGCAACACTTCAAATTGTGCCCTGCTCATACGAAAGTACTCCTTGAACCGGCTTCCGTCCAACTTCAGTTCTTGGACCAAACGGTGATACTCACCGAGCTGTTTTCGCGCGCCCAAAATCTCATGAACCCACACAGACCGGCGGGCTATATTAGACTGTATCATTTCATAATCTGAAGCAAAAACAGAATAACCTGACTTTAGCTTTGTGAAATTATGCTTCATAAAACTGTATGAAACAGTAACAGCAGGTGGGCTGAATGAGACGCAGATTCACTCTCTGACAGCAAGCGGTGCTTATGGTACAGCGATACAGCGTTTCCTTGGTTACTGCTGTAAACACAGCAGCGCTGCGCGTATTAACACTAATTTAAATGCATCATACGGAGACCAAATGAAAAGAAAACGCCATTTGTGAAAACAGTCAGTTCCGTTCCCCTCAGAAACACATTCATATAACATTCAATGTTGAGATTCTCTTTCTATATTTCGCGCATCGTGAACAGTGATCTTGTTCTGCCTGCTACAGTATTTTCTCGTGTTTGTGTCTGTCTTCAGCATCTCTGGCCACTGTCAATGGTCGTTTACAGACTAATTATAATAATAACGTAATATTTCCACACATGGCATTTGGGAAAATGATTGCAGTGCAGTTTATGTGCAAGCACGGAACAGAAGATAGTCTGAAATAAAACAAAAAATGGATGGTCGATCGGTGCATCTGTACTCCAGTGTATAAATTCAATATAGATTAATCATTGTTAAAGCTACAAAGTTACTTGCCAAGAGGGGTATTTTGACATACTTCTGTATGTATTTGCCCGTTCAGGTGGCTCACGCGTGTCAGAGATGCGGCTGTCTGTGCACGCGCTGTTCACACAGAACACAGCACGCGAGTACTGAAAGGAGTTGTCTTTCGCACACAAATGCTTTTTAATCGCTTGAATTTTTTTAATTAACAAGTCTTAAAAACACATGCAAATTATAAAATGTCGTGACGATGCTGCAGTGGCCCGATCGGGCAAGTGACAAATCCGTCTACTGTCCCGAACGTCTTTCACGCTGGCCCCGGGCCATCGGGCAGTCCTTATTGTCGAGCCCTGAATTAATGACATAATTTTCATTTTTGGGTGAACTATCCCTTTAAGATCTTATTTTTCTCACAGTGTGGATACTGTCATTCCCAGTTTTTCCATGGATTGCAGTTGCATGCAAGCTGTTGTTTCACTGCTGTATTGTGATGTAAAATGTTTGATGATTATTAAAGGTGAATTGAAAGGTGCAATAAGTATTTTAAGTATGTATGCCTAAAGAAATTGTCTGCCATCTTGATATCAGTTTTAGTAGTCTAAATTGAATAGACGTGTTAATGAACATTGTTTTCTCTCCATAAATCAGTCCGTGTCCATCCACACAGTCAGAAATCTGTTGAATCATACGTGTGCACACCAGAGTGCAGTGTTTGCAAGACGTGTGCATGTCATCATTGTGACTAACAGCCCACATGTTTTGCAAATTGAAAGTGCGCAGTATTGTACTGCCAGTTCCATTAATGGTTTGAGTTTTTTTTTTTTTTTTTTACATTTGTCCTTAATTTCTTTAATGATGAACTGAAGCGTACTTGCCGCTTGTGATCAAATGTATGTTTTTGTTTAGGTACTCTCAAATTATTCTTATTTTTTGCTTTTATGTTATATAGACTATAATCATGCATTTAATTTGATGCTGAATTCCTGTCCGCTTACTGGAACAGGCTGCTTGGAGCTTTACTATAAAACACATGAAAGCCATGGGAAATGCTTCTTTCTTTGCCAGCTTTATTATTGTCATTTACTTCTTGTCCTTGTTGAATATTTGTTTGAGAAGCAAGATCTGATGAGAAGGGCCTTAAAAGCTGTTAGGAGAACCACTACTACTAATTTTACACCTTATAATTGGAGCCTTTATCTACCTTTCAATTAAGATATTTTTGACAACTATAGTGATTGTTACACAAGGCAGAATTTATGGGTCTTTTGTTTTACTCTGTAAGCCAAGTGGTGTGAATACAAAGCAGTTAGTTATAAAACCTGTATCTATATTTATAGTGAGTTCGGAATTACCTGTATTTGTAATTTTTGAATGCACATTGAAACATCTCAGGTATTGTTGCAGTGTTTATGACCGTATTACCATCTCATTTGAAACTCAGTTGAAACAATATGGAATATGTAAAACTTAACTGTTTGTTGTTTTCAGGTACCTGAAGTATCTTACCAAGAAGTATCTCAAGAAGAACAACCTGCGTGACTGGCTGCGTGTAGTAGCGAACACCAAGGAGAGCTATGAACTGCGCTACTTCCAGATCAACCAGGATGAGGAGGAGGAGGATGAAGATTAAATCCATGCCACTCTTTTGTAAATTCAATAAAATTTCAAAAGAAACCAATTTCCTTATTTCTGGTGTGTTCATTGCAGTATGTTCAAAACATTGTATTTTGCTGACAGGAAAAGAGAGAGTACTGGATAAATCCATTTGAATTATAATTGCGTTTTCTTTCTATTTTTAGAGCCTAAGAAGTCTTTATCTATTTATTTATTTATTTTACTGCACTAAAGCATATAGGATTTATCTACCACCAGTCAGACAGGACCAATAATTTCCATAGCAACAAAATTTGTGCACTTGCAAGGTTCAGAGTTCTTTTAATCGGGAAAAACCTGCATGATATGCTGAAACATCTATACCAGTCTAAAATGGTTGCTAGTTTTAGCTGGTCTACCAAGCTTGGGCTCAACTGTTTGGGCCAGCTTAATGTCTTAAGAACTAGACTGGGAGACCAAGCAAATCTGATTAGGTCCGTTTATGCTAATTTATTTTTGTTTCATTAGGGTTTTATATGATTTTGAATGAGTTTTGCATCGTGTAGCGGAGGTTATTTTAAATGTCTTTGTCTGGCTTGATTACATAGAGCGTCTCGCTGCCGTATCCTTGGCAACGGCTCGTGATTCGCGGGTTGTCCCGAAGCAGTTTCACGAAAACGAATTAGACGTTTCAGAGAGCCCCC